TATGAAATTGCACTAAAAGGGGGAAACTTGAGTTCAACAATAATCTCCAACTTAAAATCTCTCTAAAAACTTAACGATGAAATCACAATCTAAAAAACGTCTCTAACAAAAACTTCTAAAAAAGTATTAATACTAAGTTAACAAAAACGACTCCTAATCGTCCCAAGAGAAACACGCGCCCGATCGGGCCCGCCTTTCTATGCACTCTCAAAATCTAGGCATCCGCCCGATCGGGCCCGGTCTTCTGTAGGATGAACTTCTTCTTTATTTCTTTTCTTTGGGATTTAACTTCTCATAGCCCAAATTCTTCTTCTTCCTCGGTCCATTGCTTGGACCAATTCCACAAATCAAGCCCTTAGTCACCAAAATCCTTGGTCTTGGGCTACGAAAGACGGTCATGAATGTGATCATAGCTTCAATATCTCGTAGTGGCCGAGAAACCATATAAATCACCGAAAATCCGAAAATTCCTACAAAATTAATGCCAACTCTACATAACACTCGAAACCACAAATTAGTACCAAAAATAGCTCCGAAGAGTTCAAATATGCATAAAAAATTACCGTGGGACAGACAATAAAATAACATATAAAACACGCACATCAATATGTTGTGAATTCATGTAATAGACTAACCGTTGGAGGTAGTTTTTGAACACATACTTTGGTATAAGGCTTTGAAAGCCTATTTGGTTATGTTATGAAACAAATTTGCTTGGTTATAATGTCAATGGAATGTTGGATAATTAGGTACTTAAATTTATTCCTTGCAAAAGATATCAACCTTACATTGCAAAAGTGGAACTCACTGCCACTTATAATCCATTACGAAAGCAATATTGTAAAATTAGGCCACCTAACAATGTTAACTAACTAATGTTCAACTACACAAAAAAAATTTCTCTCTCTATGGTTTTCTACGCCCGATAAGGTGTTAAGCTATCGTACGCTGCCGCCATTGATGGGGAGAAAAAAGAAGGAGATTGCTCCAAATACTAATGCAAATCAAGGGAAATCAACTCAGGAGGGTTCTGCCCAAGAGGGAACTCAAGATTTACCTGGAAGTCAGAGGAATGAGAGACCCAACTCTGATACTAATCCATTAAAGAACGTTGAACCTTGGGAAATTGAGGAGCCTCAGGTGATTCCAGACCCTTCGCTTGTTCACCCGAGTGTTGGGCCGGTTCTTGTTAGGCTTGTTGAAGTGATTAAAGAGATAAATGCAGCACTTAGTTCATTGCGAACTGCTGAAGGATCAAAGGTCGTACCTATGGCTAATAATCTGGGTAAGTCTACTGCTCCTTCTCAACGTGTTGTTAATTGTAGATTGGACTTGGTTAATAAGGGTCAAAAGGGTTCTAAGGAGGATAGCTGGGCTGGTAGGGTTCAGAGAAGTAAGCTAGCTTCGAAAGGGGTGGTGCTTAGTTTTGTATCTCCTATGGTGATAAATGGCAAACTTGTTGCACAATTGCAGAAGGATGAGATTGATTCTGGTGCTGCGAAATGGATGAATGCTATTGTGATGTTTATTATTGGTGATACACCTACTATTGCCTCTGTTAATCGATTTATTGCTAAGGAATGGAAGTCAGTTGCTTAACCTGATGTGTTTTTACATGATGATGGTTACTTTGTGATTCGGTTTAGCTCTATAGAAGATTGGAACACTATTTTGTATGCAGGCCCTTATTTCTTCTTTGGAAAACCAGCAATTATCAAACCACGGTCTGATAATTTTGATTTCCATGGGGAGATTTTGAAGGTGATTCCACTTTGGGATAAGTTTCCAAATCTTCCATTGAATTGTTGGGGTAGTGATTCGTTGAGTGGAATCGGAACTGTTCTTGGCATTCCTCTATATGCTGATGAATGTACTGCACAACAATTGCGTGTGTCTTTTGCTAGAGTGCTCATTGAGATGGATGTTACGAAACCTCTACCTAGAACTGTTGTAGTTGCTAGTCTAGATGGTGAAGAATTTGTGCAAAAGGTAATTTATGAATGGCAGCCTATATTTTTTGCTAAGTGTAATGTTTTTGGGCATAATTGTGCTGCTCGGAAACCTCAGCTTAAGCTAACTCAATCTCGAGTGGTTTAGAAATGGGTGCCTAAAAAACAACAAGAGAAGGTTCAGCCACTTGCTACTCCAGCAAATACATCAGTAGCAGTTCATTCTAATGATATGTAGGTTGGAAAGTGATTAGTAAGAAGGACAAGGACAAATCTCCTGTTAGAGAAATGACTGGATCAGAGACACCTATTTAAAACAATTTTGCAATTTTGCAGCCAGAGGAGGAAGGTGTTTTTTAGGAGAAGCAAGAAGAGGAAGATGAGGTGGAAGAGGAGGATCATGAGGAGGTATGTGATGATTTTGTTGTTAAATGATTATTTGTACCTGGAATATTCGAGGTCTTAATGACCCTAGTAAGATTAGTGAAATAAGGAGGTTTTTTTTTTTTTTTTTGACGGGAAATAAGGAGGTTGATTAATCATAACATAATTAATATTTTGGTTGTTTTAGAAACTAGAGTTAGACTCAAGAATTTTACTAGAATTCGAAATAAATTTGGGGCTAGGTGTTGATGTTAAATGTGTCATGATGCATGAGCAATTCTCTTACATTGTGAGTTGTATGATCAGTAAGGTAAATTTTGTAATATGTTTACAGCTATTTATGGTTTGCGCACTGTTGAGACTAGGAAGGCTTTGTGGGGTCGGTTGCTATCTTTGGCTCCTAGTTGTGATAGTGTCCCTTGGCTTCTCTTTGGTGATTTTAATGTTGTGCTTTATTCAAATGATAAAGTTAATGATAATCCTGTAACTCATGTTGAGACTAGGGTTGGCCATTTCAGATATTCGACCCGATCCGATCCGAAAATTTCGAATCGAGAAATTTTCAATCCTAATTCGAACCGAAAATAACCGATATCCTAAATTCCAGATCGGATCACCAAATATCCGATCCATATATCAATATTCAAAGTTTTTTTTTTGTTTTTTTACAAAATGCCTCTGTTTGAGCTGTTTAATTTAACAAAATTAAAATCAATAAATTCAAGTACAATAAAGCTCATTAAATTATTAAGGTAAATAAAAAATAGAACATTTTCAATTTTGCTACCACCAAAAGGCATGCACCTCAATTTTTCTACCCCTTAATTTTATTTAATTTTTTAATTTTTTTATTTTACTACCACCTAAATCAGAGTTGTTGAAAATCGCTACCAGTTGACGGAAGCTGTTAATTTTGTCGTTTGGTGGGCCCCCACTTCAACGGTACTGTTGTCAGTATCCTGTATATAAGTAACTGCTGCTAACCCATCTTCTCCAAAGCTGAACTCTTAAAAAGCAATCAATTTTCTTGAAGAATTTGACAAATTCGATCAATTGCGAAGAGCTCAAAAGGTGTAATTGCGTTTGGAATTTAGGGCTATTAAGGTGAGCACCTTTAAATTAAGTCAATTAATTCCTTTATGCGAAACGAATTAGGAGATTGCTGTTTACGTTCAAATTATTGCTGGTTAATTGTATTTACGAGTGTTTAGGAATGATACAGAATACAATTTTGATTTTCAATTGGGTTTAATTGGTAGTTAATTTCATTCAATCGAATTAGGGTTTATATCCCAATTGAAAATAGGGGTTTTTAGCTGGGATATGTGTGGACAAAATTGATGGTGATGTTTGTTAAATAATGATTGTATCAATGTAATTGTTAATAAATCTGGTTGAATTGCAAGCTATAATGTCGTTGATTAGGTCTTCTCCCTCCAAATAGAGGAAGTGTGACTGTGGGATTCCTATGGCTAGGCTGACATCATGGACAAGAGAGAACCCTGGAAGAAAGTTCAAAGCCTGCAAATTATATGATCCTAAAACAGAAAGTAGGGTTGCAAGTGCTTTGAGTGGGTGGATGTGGAAGAAGGCACTGATTGGCAAAGGGATGTCATCAATCAACTTCTACTGGAAAAAAAATTGATGAAGGGAGAAATTAACTCACTGTAGAGAGAAGTTGAAGATTTAAGTGGGAAAAGAAGGTGTTTGCTAACTGAGAATGACAACCTGATAGTGAAGTGCAAAGCTCTAAGTTCTGAGATGAAGAAATACAACAAGGAAGGGCAGCAGATTAGTGTTGGTGGAATGACTTGTGTGTTAGCAAGTATAATGTGTTGTGTATTTGTGATTGTTGGTGTTTTAATTGTTATGAAATGAGATTAGGGTACTCTTATTGCTTCTGTACTTAGATGAAGTAGTTTTAGGAGTACAAATTGCAAATGTAACAGTTTGAAGTACTTTGAATAAAATGGTGCAAGTTTGATTGTGTTGGCAAATAAATGAGCAAAAATCAATGCAGCATATAAATATTTGCAGTGCATATAAAGTTGGTACAAGTAACTTGCAATGCCAATTAACATATAAGTTCACCAAAATCATTAACATAGTGCATAGCACCAAAGTGCATGGAAAACATCACAGTTAAATTCCTGATACTTAGTTGTTACAGACAATTAGTGCCAAATCAAAGTTCACATAAAAATAGTAGTAGAATAGTTGCAGGGTTCATGAAATAGGTAGATAAAATTCTAGGTACTAAAAAAACCAGTACAGCCTAATTCTTCTTCTTCCTTTTCCTTATCCCTTGCTTTGTTAGCCTCTGTGCTGTTGCTGTTGTTGTTGTTGATGCCTGGGATGCTTGGGGGCAGGGCACAGGTTGTTGGGGTGGTCTCTCTTGAGGGAATGTCTTGTTAGCTATGCTCCTTGGACCAGGAGTTCCACTAGTCTGTATAAAAAAAATAGAATAAGAAGAAGAAAATTCATTAAAATGTAACAGTTTGGGCAGGATAATTTACACACCTTCCAAGCAGCCGTTGCCTCCTTCCTCCTTCTTTGCTCCTTCATCAAATCATTGTGCAAAACTGGTTTGCATGCTTTGGTGGCCTCTGGTGGAGGTGTAGGAACTTGCATTGGTGCATTGCCACAAGTCTTGGCATAATGACCAATCTATCCACAGTTGCCACACCTCTTCTGTCTTTTCTGTGGTTTTGGATGTCTGCCACTGCTCTCAGGTGCTCCCTCACCTCTCTCCAGCTTTCTTTTCTTTAACTTTGGCCTCCCCGGCATAACTCTTACTGCTGGAGGCAGGGGCTCTGTGAAATGATGCTTCTCCCAATGCTTAGGTCCAGGCATAGGCTTCACAAGTTCCTCATATGCATACAGATATTTCTGCCTTATGTAATGCACATCCACAAAGTCTTCTGGGTCCACCCTCTTGTCCAATATGCATGCAAACCCATGTACACATGGAATTCTAGTTAACTGCCAATGGTAACATGTGCAAGTCATCTGACCTATGTCAACTAGCACTGTATCCCCATTTAGCTCAACCTCATAGGAGTCTCCCCTTGAAACCTGCACTATACAGTGCCTTGCAGCCCTCTCAATCCTCTCAAAAAGCTTAGTCACATAGGGCACCAGTTTCCCTTCCATTTTCTTGGCAGCCTACCATTTCTCATTATGCCTCTTCATCATATACTTTCTCAGCCACTCCATCTGAGTGAGTATTGGCTTGTCCCTTGCATCTCTCATAACAGCATTGAATGTCTCACATACATTGTTTAACAGCATATTTGATTTGTAATCAGAAGAAAATGCATGCCTAGACCAGTGCTTAGCAGGAATGTCATCAAGAAACACAAATGCATCTTTAGACAGGAATTTTATTGATTCCATTGCCGCCTAAAGTCATCTTACCACATCATACAAAATTTAGCAATCAATCAAACAATTTTATTGATTCCATAATAATATTTAGCAAGCTTACATCAAACTCAGTTTAAGCAAATTGACATTCAATCTCAGTTTAAGCAATCAATCAAAGTTCAAGCATTTCCAAGGAATTGAAGCAATCAATCAAACATTCAACTCAAGTTCAGTGACTGACCAATGTTGTAGCCCTAGCAGCATTCCAAAAGAGCTCTTTGAAGGTTGATCCACTGAATTGAAGCTTAAAGTTGGCCTAGATATGCCTGACACAGAACCTCTTCTCAGCAAATGGGACTTATACTTCCAAGGCTTCAAGGAGACCCTGTATTAACAATCAACACATTAATGCATAACTACTCATATTAATTTAGTTACTTTAAGCAGTCAAATTAGGGCATGTAAGCTCACCTTATGTCTGTCAGACATGAATGTCCAACCACCACCTTCACACACATCACCAAGGTCCTTTTTCAAACACTCCAAGAACCAGCACCATGTGTCCTTATTCTCCACTTCTACTGTAGCCCAGGTAACTGGATATATGTTATTGTTTCCATCATTTCCAACATCCACAAGTATTTGTCCTAGGTAGGCTCCCTTTAGATGACAACCATCAACACCTATCAGAGGTCTGCATCCTTTTATGAAACCACTTCTCAATGGTTGAAGAAAAATGTACATCCTCATAAACAGTGGTGGTTCAGGGCTGCTGTGTTCCCCATCTACCACTATGCACACCCCAAAGCCAGGAATGTACTTAATTACAGCTTTTCCATAATCCCAAACCCTGGCATATTGCTCCATAGCTGACCCACAAATCATCAGCTTTGCCCTAGCTCTAGCAAGCCAAGCTCTGGAATACCCTACTGTTATGCCCAAGTCACTCAACACCCTAGCTCTGAAACTTTTTATATCCTAACTAGGGTTGTGCCTCCATTCCTCAACATACTTCTCAGCAAGATACTCAGCATTCACCATTGAATTCTTTTTACTCTTCATACACATATGCTTTGGCCTAAAATCTATGATTTGACAAGCTTGACTATTGTACATTCTTCTAGCAGCCATCTTAAACTTGCACTTTCTAACCCTAGCACTACAGTTGCAGCTCCCTGTCACTTTGCTTCTTTTGAAGTTCCACTCACACTTACACCTTCTCTTACAGAATGTGGTTATCCTATTACCACCATTGTGCAGATAGTAATGCTCATATATGTTCTCTATTGCATGTGTCCTCAAGGCTTTCCTTAGAATGGTGCTACTGCAGAACTGCAACGTTTTCACTAGCACAACTGGTTTTTTGAAATAAGTTTCTTCATGAAACCAGGGACTATCATCTTCTTCCTCATATGACCCATGTAAACTTCTAAGCTCATCTGACTCAGAACTTTCATCATGCACATCCACTTCCTTCCAACCAATGTCCTTACTTAGTTGTTTCAGTTTCCCCTCCCTTTCCACACCTACACCCTCTGAATTTTCAAGCCTATGTGTCACAACCTCCAAGCTACTATGTACTGCAGTTAAGATGCCTTCTCCAATATGCTTATTCCACTCATCATCATCATTGTTTGCCTCTTCTTCCCCAGGCTCCCAATCAATCTCTAGATCAGTTGCATTTGAGCTTAATGACCTAGAACCTGATTTCTCCTCTTCACCTCTGTACTTTTATTTTCCCACTTCCCTGCCCTCTACCCTTATGCAGGCTCACACCACCATCACCAACTTTTTCTGAAACCTTACCCTTTCCCTTATCAAAAGATCTAGAAAACCTAGGGCTTCTCCCGACTTTGCTCACACCAGGTTATGTTTCAAGCACTTTACAAAGTCTAGGGCTCCTTCTCAAGACAAGGTCAGTAGGTTTATGTGTTTTGTTTTGGGTTTCAGGTGGGATAGAGAATTGTTGTGTTTGGGATGGTTGTGCTTGGGTTGGGTTGGATCCAGCAACAGTATGGGCAGACACAAGGGTTTGAGGTGGGGTAGAGCATTGTTGTGTTTGAGATGGTTGTGGTTGGGTTGGGTTGGATCCAATAACACTATGGGCAGACACATGGGCAGCCTAGTTGGATGTACTTTCATTGAGGTTGGACTGTTGTGGGATTGAGGTGGGGTTATTATCTTCAGCTGCAATGCTCTGTAGGTTCTCACTAGGGGTGGGGTCATTAGAAACTGTAAAATACACCTCTAAATACCCATCCCTGTGCTTGGCTTCTAATAACCCTTGTACATCCTCATCAGTTTCTATCTTCCTTTTACCAGTCATCCAACTCTTACCCTTTTCTTTGTATTAGAGAATATATGTGTTAGGTACATCCCATCCCATGTCCCTAATCCCTTCAGTACATAGATATCTTATATATCCCACTGTCAAGTAAGTCAGAGATACATCCCTTTTCCAATAAATGAACCCAGCTTCATACACTTGGTACTGGACTCCCCTACGGCTCTTAAACACAAAACCCCCATATATTCTTAGCTTAATATCAACATTATCATCACCATCAACCATTTGTTTGGAACTACAATTAAATAGCAGTAAAAAAAAAAACATATCAAACACTATTTTATTCTTAACTGTAACAAAAAAAAGGCACTCTAAATATACCCCCATACCCTACCACATGACTATGAAAGCATTAATTTTTAATTAGCCTAACAACGTAGCTTAAAATATTCAAAGCTCACTAATCTAGGGTTTACTGCAAATTCTCCCAAAAATATCCCAACTACAATGAATTATTGCGAAATTACCACCATTGTTGGATCACTATAAATAGATAGGGTTTCGTACCTTCCAATACGTCGTTGTCAGGAGAATCTTCAGCTTACTACAATGGAGATGACGCTTCCTCGCAGCTGTTTGTCTTCCCCTACTTCATTGTTTTAGTTAAGACCTTCCACGCGCACAATTATAAGCTTCAATTTGAAGAAAAGTAGAGATAAAGAGAGATGGAGATGGTGAGAGAGGAGAGAGAAAAATTCATCAACAAAAAAAACATTTAACCCTGCCTTCAATGGAGTTAAATTCGGGAGTTGGGAGTATTCAATGGAGAGACAAGGAAGAGTTAGGTTGGCAGAGGAATAGATTCTAGGAGAGAGAAGAAGTGAAGGGAGGTTAGTTAACTGAAGTGGGGCCCACCAAACGGAAAAATTAACAGCTTCCGTCAACTGGTAGCGATTTTCAACAACTCTGATTTAGGTGGTAGTAAAATAAAAAAAAAATTTAAGGGGTAGCAAAACTGAGGTGCATGCCTTTTGGTGGTAGCAAAATTGAAAATGTCCTAAATATAACTTTAGCTCTTTTCAATAAACATAAGTCTTGCTTATTAAATACATGTCTTCTTGATAATGAATAATAAATAATATAACATGATTCAATTACTTTCAACTTGTATCAAGCTCATAATAATAATTCCAACATATTCACATGCTTACATATAAGACATGGGTAAACAATCAATCATTATATCACAACAACAACTTAACATGATACTAATCTCATACTTGATACCAAATTTAATTTTCTAACATGGTACTACGCATAATTAACACATCTTACGCGCATACGTACCTCAAATCGTCTTTCCAACTAGCCACAATGCTAGGGATCACTCAAACTTAAAGTCTCCTACAATACCAAGCACATAACTCAATTAATCCCTTGATTACACAAATTTCCAACAACTTTTAAGCACTTTAAAATCTCTCTAATAAGCTGAAATTTTGGTTTAAAACCTTTAAAACTTTTCTTTTAAGTGGGTAATTAAAGCCACAAAGTAAAAACTTCATTATAGTGTTTATATAAAAATTCTAGCACACTTTTTAAGGTTTAAACCCCTAAAATAAATCTGAAAATTATATTAAAACCAATTAAAAACTTCTCTACTTATGGGTAATTAAACCCTTTTAACAAAACCACAAAAGTAGTGCTTAAATAAAAATTCCAGCATTATTATTTTGATAAAACCTCATTAAAATTCCATAAAAATATAGTCTTTAAGCTTTATTATCACTTATAATCAATCAGTATATAAAACCCCAAATTAGTTGCAAGTTAGAACCCTAAAATCAACACTTTAATAATTAAAACCCTAACTATTATTATTATTATTATTTTGAAAATCTAAAGATTATTATTAATTACATAATTTGAAAAATCATAATTTGATACTATAAAAACTCCAATAAAACTAATTAAACATATGCCTAAACAATTAAATCAAAATGAACACCTTAAGAATATATGTAGTTATGTAAAACCATAAAGAGAAAAATAAGGAGGAGGAGAAAGAACAGTGGCTCACGGTAGGTGGCAGCGGTGATGAGGTAGCAGCGGCAATGGTGAGCGGCAACTTGAGTGAGTTTGCACGCATGAAAGAAATAGGAAAAAGAAAGAATAAGGAAAAAGAAAAAGATAGAAAAGAAAAAGAAAGAAAAGAAAAAGAAAAATAAGAAAAAGAAAAAGAAAATAATACTTGTTATGTAATATTGTGTGGAGATATCCATTATCCTCCTTGTATCGATCCGGAATATTTTAGATTTAGGATTTATTGTTATCTAAGCAAACCCTAGTTATATTATATGTATATATATCCCCCACTCTATAGAATAATTGATTGATCATATTCTCTCTAAAATTCTATATGTTTCACAGCCCGTTATCAGCACCAAACCTGAACAATTGAGCAATTTGGCAAAATCAACCTGACTAAGAAGACGAAAGA